TTATGAATAATAATTATGTATATGTTATGTGTTAAGTTTTGGTCATACGTAGATTAAGATAGTGGTCATGTTTTCTGTAAATTTTTAATGTTTTCCCGCAATGCTATCAAAATATTAAGTGTAACTTTTTCCAAAAGATCTTTTTATAAAATTCGTCTACTAAATTGTACGTATATGTTAAGCATAGATTATTATTTTCATTATGAATTTGGGAGTGGTAGTTCGAGCCGCAGAATTTTCGCTAGCATATTAAAATAGAACAAATTTCCGTAATTTCATATTTATTTTCTGAATTTCAATTTCAATCTGAGCTATTTCAGTCGAACAAATTTCTCTTAGAAGGTTTATCAAAAACTAATTTTGAAGATTTAGGAATTTTAATTTGAAAACTATCCTATATTTATCCCACTAAGTTATGGTCACCATATCTTTTCTTTCTTTTACTATTTCCTTTGATATTTTGTTACAGTTTGTTTTTGTTTTTTTAACAGAAACAAAATAAATCTCATATTAAAATATCCACTGATTTGCTTATCTGAACATAAAATCAAATTATTTCAAAGATGAATACGCCAACAAAATTTGAGACATTAAAAAAAATGTCCATGAAATTTAGTTATTCAAAGATTTTATTTACGGCCTTTATAGTAAGAGAACTGTGCGTCTACTATAATGCATGAATAATTAATTAGTATGAGTAAGCTACCAACAACAAATGATTTTCATGATAGTCACATACACATACCCTACACTTGTAAGTATGTAAAGATTCTCAATATAAAATATTTAAGAAAATATTTTGGAACAGTTTAGAAATCATGTTAAAACGAATATTTATTGAGAATTATCTAAGTTTTTAGGTTTAAAAGATGCTTTGAACTAATAAAAATGATTTTGCGCATAGCTTCTAAGAGAAAAACACAAAATTTTTAATGAAAATATTGCAGATATTTCCTATACAGAACAAAAATGCCATTGTGTAAAACAACGCCTGTGAATAGTAAATAATATGGAAAATACAAACTACGAGTATTCTGTTAAAGGAATGTAATCAGTAAGTTGCGCTAACATTTTTCAGATATTAAATTATCAATATATGTATGTTTATTCTGAATATGTATTTGATCTCTCTTTAACTATTAAATTTCAAGATAATAGTAAGATAATTTGATGTTACCCAATACTCACACAAATTTTCATCGTCAAGACTATAAACTAAAACATAAAACTATTCTTTTTTTCCAGTATTAAATTATAGATTTGATCCGTGTTAACAGTTTCATGCTTATCAGAGCCTGCAGAAATTATAACGTGAAGTGTTTGTAGAGGAACTGATTCCTGAACGATGTTTCCACAGATACAGATTGATTACGTAGGTAAAAGGCGAGGCAAGAAGTTGTTATTTTAGTGTTTCGAGTCCAGATTTAGGAGAAAATTTTCGCCATCCATTCTATGAAGAAATTTTCTTCCACAAAAGAATTTCTTTGTTTATTTTGGATATGCGAAGTCGATTTTGGCCTGAAATATTAGATGGAAACAGTATTGGATATGCAATTGGTGATAATGTCATAAAAAATGGGTTAAATTTGGACACTTACATGTGAGACTGCCGACCAACATAATTTTTGTTTTATATTTTAAATATTGAATGTAAAAAAAAAATTAGTGCTACAAAAATAGTGTAAGAAATGTTTTTTTCATTGATCTGTGTATATTAAATACGCAGTAAGTAATTTAAGTAATAATATATATGGCAAGGATGATCAAGATACTTGATAAATCTACCAATTTATCGGAATTTGAAATTTTTTGAGAACCGCAATTACAATTGTATTAAGAAATTAACTTTTCCAAAATTTAGGAAGTGAAACAAATTAGTTCATTCAAATTTCGATGTCAACCGTGTATTACCGACGATAACGCTACTGTTTACCTTCAATCGGCCAGTTTTTTTTAACTTAGACGCAGATAAAATTTATGGCATAAAGTTGCACTTACTCTTTTCTATTATTTTTTCAGAAATTTGATATTATTAAAAACGTAAGAAACGCTAATAATTTAGCTGCAGTTTGGCGGACCCTCTTATATAAAAAAAATTATATTCTTTAATAATAAAAACATTGGTATCTTTCTTCTGAGAAGCAGTTTTTCTGTTGGAATAAACAAGTAATTGGAGGTAATAATTATAGTCTTAGCACATCTTAAAACCAGCTGGTAAATAATGCTTAAAATTGCTTAAATTTTTAAACTTAATAAGCTTAAGTTTTATACGCATTCCGCTGAACAGATAAAATTGTTTATTGAAATAAAATTATAATATTATTAAAAATCTATACATCAATTTTATTTTCTTGTCAAATTGTCATTTGACAAAATCAATAAAGAATAATTTTTAAGATATTTTTTGTGTACATAAATTTCAAATAAAATATTTAACAACTAAAATTACAAAATATAAATACCATACATCCATACATATGTATTATGAAGAAAAACAAAAGCAAGAATTTAACTAGAAAAATGACTGATAGAAATGAAAAAGGATAAAAGAAAATGAAAGATTCAAACTCTAATAGCAGTCAACCTGCAATAATTCAAATAGAAGATAAAGATATGACAAAAAATGAATATTTGCGTAAAAATAATCACACAGGTTGCGGAGGAACCATTTACAAAGAAACGTCTTTTTCACAAGACAAACTTGCGACTAGTAAAATATTAGTAAATGTACTAGTAAAATGATAGACTAGTAAAAATGATAGCTTCCATACGCGATTGTTTAAATATAATTTCGTATTAGATCGTAATAGATTGTATGTACATATGTATATGAATGAATTTATTTTAAGATCAAGTTAAGTGGTATTCATACCGAAGGCCAATCATCCTGATACTCACCCGAAGTCATATCGGCCACATCGTTTTTAAGTTTGACATCGTTTCTCTTCAAGTCGATGGAGAAGATGCTAGATGTGCACATGAGGGCCACAATCGAGGCGACCTCAAGTTTGCACGGAGAGCAATTCGCCTATCGGGCGGGAATGTCTACCGAGATTGTCCTGCACCGCCTCACTCAAGAGATAGAGGGGGCGCTGGTGGACAAGTAGATAGCCCTTGGGGCCTTCTTGTGGGTCTGACCATGCTCAGTCGTTCAAATTTGAGGACATTAGTGGGGATTCTCACTGGACACTGCCTCTCGAGGGTCCACCTGAAAAGAATGGACAGGGTGACGGATGAGGTCTGCCGTTTATGCCTGGAGGAGGACGAAACCATGAAACACTTACTGTGTGAGTGCTAGGCGGTTGCTCACCTGCGACTAAGATGCTTCGGGGGGGCTTTCTGAGTTTTTTTTGGTTACACTGCCATCTTTCGATCAAAACTTACTAGGTCTAGCCTTGTATAATTAAATTTTTTTTAAATAATTTTAGACAAAAACTAATCTTAAGCGTATACAAGAGACTTTCTTCATTCTATAGTTGGTTTGAGTTTTTCTAAACATCCAGGAAAACCGAAGAGCAGATGCACTTTTCTTCCAGAGCTCTTTCGATGACGTCATTTATCCTATGAACTTGTTCAACCGGTGAATGATTCGTTTTTTACTCAGATTGCGATTACAGGTTCGAAAATCAATTTGAAATTTCACAGAGCTTTGATTTCAAAAAAATATTTCTAAAATCACATATTCAACTTAACCGGTTCAATTTTTAGAAACAGAACTTTCATATTATTGCAGAGTGCGATCTGGCAACTCTGAATGTAATCAAATTAAGCCAAAAATGAAAATGATTACAAAATTTTAATTAATTTTTATTAATTTTCTTTGCAGGTTTTCACGTCTCTTGCAATTACTCCTTCATTGGAGTTCTCCTTCATTGTCACCATTGATTTTACAAAAGCATATCTCTATATTATTCTTGGACTGTTAGTGATAATTATTTTTATTATAATTCAAGTATTCATTCACGTTTCGATATTTCATTTAATTATTGCAATATTTACTGTTATATTTTTTTCTTTTAAATTAATTTTTGATACACAATGTATGCTAGGGGGTAAATGTAGATATGCTATTCATCCTAGCGAGTATGTATGTGCAACTTTGAATTTATATTTAGATACTCTGAATATTTTTGTTTCATTTTTACAAATTTTTAAGTAATAATTAAAATTTTTAAATATTTTTAGTTTTGGTTGCTTATTTTTTGTTTTGTTGAGTTTGAAAAACAAAATAAATCATTTCATTTGTGCGTTTATAGGTATTTTTTTATTGTTGAATTTAGTTAAAGCGTTACCGTCCTTACTTGCACAAACTGGCTAAATCAGACTGCATTTTGAGTTGATTCTACTGGGAGAATAAGGAGAAGCCCAAAATATTGTGTGACTGTTCTGCTCTGCCCTTCAAGAAGCGTAAACGGCTTGCGCGGGAATTTTTCAGTGTTGGAAAGCTTAAATCCAACTCTCTGAGAGATATCTCCAGGTATTTACTTTATATCAGGGCAGAGTTAGTGGGATATGAGGGAGGAGTTTTTTGCTCATATTCGGTAATCTACACTTTACAATTACCGTTTTTACACCACATACATAGAGAATAACCTTTATCGAACCCTTGGTTTGTATACATATTCATGGTTATAAATCAATTAATTGTGAAATATTCTAATGGATGATTTTTAAGTATTTGTTTGTAAGTTGGTTTTTCAAGATTCTGTTCTAACTTAGATCAATTACAGTCGAAATATCATTGATTACATACGTTCAATATTGTTTTTTAAAGCAACAATTGTTGCTCGATTAATCAATATTAATAAAAAATTTTTCATATCCCCGTTAAATAATCTGTGGATGGCCAATTAATTGATCTAAAACGTGAAAAATTTTAAAATAAATAAAAAATCATTTGTTTTTATATCTTTTTAAATACATATAGGTTATAATTACATGATATACATAATTACAAATTTATTTAACATATCTTTTTTATTTCGATTTCATTTTTTTTTTATTAGCATCACTAATTCAATTGGTTTCTAACTAAATTTATATGCAAACTAAGTGTCTAAAGAATTAAATAAAAAAAATTTCATTTGTTAATTTTTAATTTTAAATTTAATTTTTTTTTTAATAATAATATTATAGTTTTAGAACCAATATAGATCCTTTGAAGATTCTTGAACTTGAGCTTCTAGTCCTGAAAAGAGAAATTATAAATAAAATTAAAATTTTGATAAAAATTTTTTGTTTTAAATGAAAAGATTGTTTGTGAAAATTCAAAATTAGGCTGACAATTCAATGAGATTTTAACTATTTTGTCATCTGTGATTAAACTTACAATCGAAATGAAAGAAACTAATATTCGATTTTAAGTCATTTGCCATATTTATGAGAAGAATTGAATTGAATTGAATTGAATTGTAAAGAATTTCGGAAGTAAAGTGTCCCCCTAAGAATATTATTATCGAGATTTTAGATGCATTCCATTGCATTAGACCGTATAAAACTAACAAGTAAAAGTTCTTACAAATTTATTATTAATAACAGAAACCTTTTATAAAGAAATTTGACACATAGTTCGAAATATAAATTTTAACTGTTCTTAATGCCTTAAACGATGCCGTACATATTAAAGCACTCACTATAGTGTCGCCCCATATAGAATTTGGTGAAATATAGCAGTCGTACAAGTTGTACCAAGCATTTCGTTTTTCCGAACAAAATATTTCTCCAAAATCATCTCTTAACATTATTTGTCTTTTTGTGAAGTTAGAAAATATAAAAGAGATTTTGTTTTCAAATTATTCTCTTTTTTAAAAAATCCCGCCCAAATGTATGCAATTCTCTTTTCGGTATATATTTTAGTTTAGAAACTATCTTTTATCACAACATACGTTTATGATCACTTGTATAATTAAAATTTAAAAATTTATAAAAAACAAGTTTTTCATTTATGTCACAAATTTTATAATATTGACCAAAAAAATCTAATTTCTATTACAAACAAGTTTAAAAATGAGAGCGGCACAAATAAATTGCGGATTATATTAACTTACATATTTTGTTATTATCAAATGTCTATATGGAAGGTCTTTATATGGGTAGAATTTTTTATATAAGAAATATTTTGTATAAAAACTTTGAAAAAAAAAAAAACTCAAGTGTAAATGATAGTAAAACGATTTAAAGAGCATCAAATGGAGAAAAAATTGAAAAAATGAATAAGAAAGATTGCAAAGAAGCAGAAAATAAGAGAACAAAAACTCACAATATACCAACCAGAAGCGATATAAGTGGAATGCATGCAAGCGGTGCCTCTGTTTGATGTCATTTAAAGTAAAAAATATTTTTCTGGCTGTCGTTTATGTTTTTTTTTTCTTTTCTATATTTTTCTGTTTCTCTCATACCATTTACTCTCTTCGGTTTTTTGTTTTCTTTCGTTTTCTTTTTATATTTTTGTTTTCCATTGAATCGAGCATCTTTCTATAGAAAATTATAGGTATGCAATGTATGTATGTATGTATGTATATTGTGAAATATGTAAGAAAAACGTGAATATAATGGCTGCAAATAATTATGAAATGGACAGAAATGTAAAGATTTTTTGACCAATGGCTGAATACATTTTTTAAGCTTTAAAAAAATTTATGATACAAAAATTCTTTAAAGCCACCATAGGGGTTCTTCGGTTTTTAGTGCGTATACAATGTGCTCTCAATGTTTTCAATTTGTGATTTTGTTTCACTGGCTGGTTGTAAATCTTACGGATCGTCATAACTCATAAATTTACGTTCATGTATATACATACATGCATACATTACGAATCTCATTTACTCATTCATACTATTTGTATGTCATATGTATGTGTATATGAATACTGACTGACACAAACCATATTTATGAGAATGTGTGTGTTTATAGAACACACAAAGATATGTACATAAATTACGAATATCTATATGTATGTATTATTGAAATTGTTTTTAATTTTAAAGCAATTGAGAAAATCAGAAAAATGAACTCCGCCCTTACTAATGTATAGTTAAGGTAGCCACCAAGCTATACACAAAAAACAAAAAAAATACTTTTTTATTAACTTTGTTTCTGTTTTTGTGTTTTTTCATTTCCATTTTTATGCAATTATGTTACGAAATGACGTATGAGGTGATTGTGCAAATATTTCAGAACTACTGCATAGATTTTTTTTTCGTTTTTCATCTTTGGTTTTTGTTATTTATGTGTTTAATAATGTACAATAAATAAATTTACTCAATATTAGTATATAATATATGTGTGTGTGTGTGTGCAATCCTCTGTATGCAATAATTTTTTATGAATGTATTTTAATTTAAAGAATGCCGTATTTCAAGTTTCAAATTAAAAAGATTTAGTGAATTGATAAATTCAGACAATTTAATGATGAGATGAAATTAAGATTTTATGTAATTATAAATCTACAATTTTAGTATATAACAGTTCTGTTTTATATATAACGTACATAAAGAGCATAGTGAAAAACAAAAATGTGATCTCTTTGAGACTGCAAAGAAATCCGTTTGAAAACTTGGTATGTATGTATGTAAGTATAAATTGGTTTCCTTTTAATATAATTAATATTATATAAAGAATTTATTTTTTTTAACTAATATGATTTGCTGGAGAGCTATTATAATAAACCTAATAAAATCATCTATCTGTGCGAATGTTGAACTTTTTTCAGTGTAAGAAGAAGTGGTCGGTGCCTATTTAAGTATAAATATCGTGAACATATTAGAAATTTTTCAAATTTTCTTAGCCAATATAACAGATAACTTATGTTATTCAATGAATTGCAATGTTATATATATAGATATATATGTATGTGAATGCTTTGATATCGATACCTTGCTATATATATATCGAATTTTTTTTTTCGATAAATTGATTCCTTTTATAGAGAAACGCTTATTGTAATGGTTATAATAATCAATGAATTACTTTATAATACATCTATACACAGCCAAACAACACGGTTAAATTCAGAAAAATTTTTGACAAGAAAAATCTCCTTCATATACTTTTACACACACATATTCGAACTCCTTTAAACTTTCTTAAAATCACGTAATTCCCAACATCAAAATCTCTAATTTCATTCAATTTCGCCCGCTTTCGTGTTTTTTGTTTACGACATTTTTTTGGCAATTTCTTTCTACAAAACTATTAAATGTGAACGAATTTTTTTTCGAATTTAAGTACCTGCTCAAGTAGCTGTTAATTAGGAGTTATAATTGTCATTGGTTTCAGTTTTTCTATCTATTTAAATATTTGTTATTTAAAAACGTTTTCACCTATTTTCGAAGTAATTCTTTTCACATAATGTGAATTTATTCGAACATCGCTTTTGGAACTTGCTTAAAATCACAAACTTTGGGACTCTATGTGATATTAAGCATGTTCGATTGTAGTAAGTACAAATAACAAGGCTTATCAGTTAAGCAGGCTTAATTGCGAAATATCTAATTAATATTTTTAAATAACATCAATTATTAATATAAGGAAGAATATTTCCTTTAAAAAAATTAATATTTAAAAGAAAGGCTGCACTTAAATTATTTTGATTTTATAAATTATATTATGAAAATATTGCATACTTTTGGGGGTAAAAAAATTAAAGAAACCGTAAACATAATGATAGAATTCGACGAAAATTAGGAATTCATTCGAACTTTGAGAGACGATTAATTGAAAGAGGCGATTTTACGAAAATTTCTTGCCAAAATTTACTATGTATTACTATGGCTTGGAGGGTTACTCCAGTCCCACTCGGTTCCCTTAAAATCTACAAATCTACAAATCTACTATGTATTAAAAACTATTAAAACTTTAAATTTTTGAAAACTAAAAGAAAAGTTTCAAGAAAAGCGGTTTTAAGATGACACTTAATTTCAAATGACATTATATAATATCAAATTTCGACTTTATATTTTAATCAATAGTGACAGATTGGGTGAAACTAATAAGCACACTTTGTAGGAAACGAGCGGCTAAAAATATCTAATTTTTTATAAATATATTATAAATGGATTCTCTATATTAAGTAGATTAAGTTTTCTTAATGAGGCCTACAGAAAACAACTCGTACAGCAACGTACTTGAATCGGAATGTCAGTCATCAAATTATAATTCAAAGTTATGGTTGGTTTAGTGTCAATATTATTTTGAAATATATTTGGAGTAACACGGATCAAGGGACAGAAAAGCAAACTGTTGAACTGAGATATGATTATTTAAATTTATGTGTTCTTGGCTGAGCAAAAAAAAAATATATTATTAATTCTGATTAGTAGCATATAATAGACAAGCAGTACAATATGTTCAAATATATTAAAAAAATGAACACAAAGAATGAATTGAAACTAAACACTGTACGAGCTTCCCAGCTCATATGTGAATTGAATTGAATAAATAAATAAAAAATAAATAAAAACGTACTGGTCTTTTGATTTGTCCAATAAAATTTTAGAGTTAGACTATTAGATTAGAAGTTAATTATGAAGATTAGACTTTATCTACGAATTAGCTACCACAAGATTCATTTTTTTTTAATTTGAAGATTTTACAAAATGTAAAGGTTTTGTGATCATCGAGCAATTTAAGCTTTCCTATGATAAAATCGCATTGTAATCCTATAAGGATTAATATTACGTTTGGTTGAAAATAACTGAATCAGATAGAAATCAGGAAATTCTAGTTTAAAATTAGAAATTAAAAGCCATTTTCATTAGACTAACATAAAGAATAAATTAGGACAAGATTTCAAAATCATTCTAAAAATCCATTTCAAATTATAGTTTCCTTTTAAATCGAGAAAAATTTTATCGATTTAGACTAAGTTCTAATTAAAAAATCTGACATCATTTTATGGTAAATTGCTACTTATAGAAAAAATACTAGAAAGTTCAAATATTATTTACAAATTCAAATTTATTTTTTATGATGCCTTAATTAAGAATTGCGAATCTCATAATCTTCAAATTCTATACGATTCTATACGTTCAATAGAAATTCTTAAGACTTCTTAAATCTAATTGTGTAATACAAAAATTTCTAAAGATTTGTTTTTACAATGCAAAACTCAAACCTAATAAAAATAAAATTCTATCTAAATATAAAGATCTCATAAGCATTTTAAGATTTGGCAGCATTTTGAATGGA